GCTCGTCATCAGCGTCAGCACGGCTCAGGCGGCGGGTGCAGGGTGCGCGGGGCAGGCAGCCAGGGAGCCCACCGCGCCCCGGGGGTGCGGCCGCCCAGAAGAAAAGGCCGGAAGCACAGGAAAGTGGGAGACACAGGCCCACATGGTAACTGCGAGCGCCAGAAACTGGCTTTACATCCCTCTGCTCCTCTGCACGGCCCTCAGACGCTTGCCTCAGGGTCGGAGCTCGGCCTGCGCGGCCTGGCGGACACCGGAGGGCTGAGCGAGGGCGCTGGCGGCGGGCCAGGAGGCACCAGAGTTCCCGGCCTTGCAGCGATGTGAGGCGGGCGGAGGGTGGGCCCCAGGCCTGGGCGTCCCGCGTGCCCAGGACCTTCGCCGCCTGGCCTCTCTGTCCCCGGCTGTTCTCCAACACGCCTGTGGTGGAAGACAGTTGCCTCGGAAGGCGGCTGCCAGCCACGCCGTGGCCCGTCGTTTCCCTCAGCTCCAGGGTGAGAGCACACGCCCGGCTCTCCTGTGCGTCGGAGTCCCGCGTCCTCCGGGGGGGTCCCGTCTGCCGCCTGAATAAAACGTCCCGTTCCCCAGATACGCGAAAAGCTGCGGCTCTCCAGTCAGCCGGCGCTCCTGAACGCCCCCGGCACGGCAGGCGTGGCCGAACAGAGGCTGTGACGCGGCACGCTCACACGGCCCGACGAGCGGGGCAGGCGGCAGGTGCTCCCAGACCCCGGCCCTGCTGGAGGGGGCGACCCGGCCCCCGCGGGCCTGCGCTGCTTACAAATAACCCTGTTCCCACCTCAGGCATCTCTCTGGGCACGCTGAGGACCCCGCCGCTGGACCTGAACTGGCGTCTGCAGAATCCCCAGGCGGCTTTCCCACAGCGGGTCAGTGACCAGGCCCGCAGGTGGAGGTCCGCGTCTTTCAGAAGACGGAAAGAGCCAGGCTGGGGAACCGGAGGGTGAAGGTCACCACCAGCACGTGCAGCCTGGGGGGGGGGCATGGGGCAGGGGACCCCACTGGGCAGGGGACTCCACTGGGCCAGGGGACCCCACGTGGCTCGCCCCACAGGAGCCCTGCATCAAGGCTGGACAGCTTTGTCAAGACTCAGCGAGCTCACCGTGGACCATCCTGCGCGCCTCGGACATCTGCGGGTGTCCACACCAGGAGTGGCATTTACACACTCGGGGTCAGAGCCCCTGTGTGGACATGGAGCGCTTCCCACCAGCTGGGTGACATAGGTCTGTCCCTTTGCAAGTGGGTTTCTGAGTGTGCAAACATGGGGCTGCATGTGCAAGCGTGCACCTGTGCACACCCCAGCCCTGTGGCGCCCCCAGGCAGGGCTCCCCAGTTTCTGTGGCCCGGAACTTCCTACCACTGGGTCACCGGAGTCACAGTCAAAAAGCCTCTGTGCCTGCCGAAGCCCCAGGTTAGCAGGGTGAGGGCTTGGGGGAGGCCCAGGTAAGCAGGGTGGGAGGTTGGAGGACCCCACCCGTCCAGGGGCCTCTGACACGGGCGGCCTCGATGGGGCAGGTGCGCTGGGAGGGCGCCGCCAGGTCACGCCTCTCAGCAGAGACTGGCGGCCAGGCGAGGAGCAGCTTCCACAGGGCTCCACACATGCCAGAGCCTGGGGGGGGGGAGCCGGGGCCGGGGGCAGCCCTTCAGCTCCGAGGGCGAGGCCATGTCCCCTCCCTAGTGCCTCTGCAAGCGGCCCTGGGGCCCCAGCAGCTCCATAACCCGCGGCCGCATGGAGGCGCCGAGTCGCGGACGTCCGATGCGCTCACGCTCGTTAAAATTAATGACATCATTTACCATTTCTGCGCACATTAGCTTTGGAAAACGCTTTACAGTCATCTTTATTAATGAATAAAGCTTTAAGGGACAAAAAAATGCGCCGTAAAATTATGATGCGTATGCTGCACGTCAGTTTTACTATTATTATCTTTAAATATCTCCCCCAAGTGGAGAGTCGCTCACCCCTAAACGAGGCTCTCGCCAACGTGAGGCTGAACTCGCCGGCGCCCCTCCCGCCCCCGGGGTCCCGTCCAGACCCCCAGGCCTGCCCGCCTCCGGCCGCCCACCCGGGCCCCTGGAAAACGGCCAAGAAAGCAGAAAACTGCTCTGCTGCTGCCTGGCCTGGGGCGTCCCGGCGCTGCTGGCTGGACGGCTCATGATTGCGCCCCAGACTGGGGGCTGCGTGTGCACCCCACCCGCACGCGCCGCACCCCACACCGCGCCGCGCACCGCACACAGCAGCCCACAGCCTCTTCCCCGGCCGAGGTCGCGGTCTGCGCGGCCCAGCCTGACGGGAGCGAGGCGCAGTCCAGCCGGGCGGTGTCCGCCGGGGCACCAGACGCGGGGAGCAGGGCCCGCGCCCTCACCCGTGTCCACTGAGGGTCTCCTAACTTCTTGGGGCTACCTCTTCCCTCGCGCGCCCTACGCCGCCCTGGGAAACAGCCCTGCGCGATTCTGGCCCTGGACCAAGGCTGGCTCAGGAGCCCAGGCGCCGGGGCCCAGCCCAGATGTCCCGCGAGCCGCTGCTGGGAGGCCTCGCGGCTGCGAACCACGGTGCGGGGTGGGGGCTGAGGCCCGCGTGGGCCCCACCTCCCGGGTGGCCGACACTCACCTGCCCTGTAGCTCCAGCCTGGGATGTGGATGGACAGCTGGCTGGCCCCACCTCGGGGGCGCCGGGGGGCGCAGGGCCCCGGCCCTGTCCGCAGGGTGATGGGGCTCCACTCCGGGTCTCGGTGTTCCGCGCCGTCCAGCAAAGGCGAGGCGCTCCGCGGGCAGGTGCCGCCGCCCAGGTGCACCTGCCCCAGCGACGGGCTTTCCTTGGCCAGACCCTCTGGCAAACCAGTGTCCCAGCAGGGGCCCCAGGGGCCCGGTGGTCCTGGCCAGGGCTCCCGCCTGCGGGCCCCGCCCACTGGCTCGGGGTTGGCCGGGGCGCCTGCCCCATCTGGTGTCAGGCTGTGTGAACTGCAGCTGAGGCTGACGGACAGCACCGACCTGTGCAGCTGAGGGCGGGCAGTCCGCGGCCCGGCGGGCACCGACAGGGGCCTGTCCGGGGCGTAGGTGGGGCTGTGGCACTGCTGGGACACACGCAGGTGGACGCAGGAGCTGAACACCAGCGGGCCCCTGGCCTCCTGCGGGGTGTCGGGGGAAAAGCCGTCCTCTCCAGCGTCCACGCCGGTGACCCAGCACTCGTGTCCCTCACACGGCCGCACGTGGGTCTCCGGCGCCTTCGGCCTCACCCCAGAGCAGCTTCTGGAGTCGCCCGTGCACGGAACGGGCCTCGGGCGCCCGGGAGGATCCGCGCCGGCCGAAGGGCGCCCGAGCAGCGCGGGCTGGACCCTGCACTTCGTGCACGGCGGGTCCCCCACGGCCTCCCACTCCAGGGCGCTGGCGGGGGGGCCCACGCGCCTGGCGGTGATGGTGATGGACGAAAAGCCTCTTTGGGGGGCACCGCTGGGCGGCTCCCCTTTGGGCAGCGGCTCTATCTCGGGCCCCAGCCGCTCAGATGTCGGAGTCCGAGTGCCCCACGTGCCGGGGAGGAGGGCGAACGCCCTGTGGATGGTGACCCCACTGTGGTCGGCCAGGGGCTGCTTCCTGGAACAGGCGGGGGACTGCGTGTGGGCACATGACACTGGCAGGGGCACCCCGTTCTCCCTCGACTTATTCCCATCCATCAGCTGTGAGATGACGATGGATGAAATCATTTCCGTGTGCTCCGAGGCCACGGTCTCCTGCAGGTGGAAGGAAACGCCGTTATTCCAGCAGCCCGTGCGTGGCCGGGGCCTGCGGCCAGGGGCCGGGCCCGGCTTGCTGGCTGTTCCCCGGGCGCTGCCCGAGAGCCCGGGGCTGTGGGAGCGCACACGCCAGGGAGCCTCGGTCTGCCTGGTGCCGATTCCTACCCTGTCTCGTGACGTGTCCTCGGTCACCTCCACCGGGCCGAGCGCTGAACACAGGCTCTCAGCCACAAAGGGCTGGGATTTGGGGACACAGGTCCTGGGGAGATGAGGCAGCCTGCCTCGGAAGGAGCAAGTGTACCCCGCCCCAGCTCCCCACACAGCTAACTGGCAACACTGGGCCAAGGCCCGAGAACAAATGACCGGAACCCAAGCTCCCGGGCTTGCAAACTGGCCAGATGGTCATACCCGGGCATCGGGAAGGGTGGGCGGTCTGGGGCAAGACAGGGGCCGTCTTGCTGTGTTTCAACCCTCGCCGCGGGGCTCTGTGCCCCATCAAGAGGCGGACGTGACGTTCCTACACGGACCATGGCCCAACCCCTGGATTCCTCCTTCCTCAGACTAATATTCACTGAGCCCCCTCGGTGCCAGGCTCTGAGGTAGTTAACAGGGTCCCGTGAACCAGGCACCGGATGACCAGCACGGGAACTTTATCAGGATGAATTCGGGTTTGGAGCGTGAGACTCCGCCCCGCGCCTCTAAGAAGCAGAGAAGTCGCAGCTTCGCTCTCCAACACCCGCCCTCCTCTTGTGCGGGACGTCCTGTCCTGTCCGTCTGGCAAGTGCCAGTGTCTCAATGAGCGTCACCGAGGAACTGAGGCTGTGACCCAGCCTCTTAAAAACTAGTGTTGGTCTATGAGCCGTAGCTGGGTGGCGTACGCAGCAGGTCGCCTCTCTCGTGATTCTGGAGGCTGCAGGCCGAGCTCAGTGTCCGGTCTCCTCCTGAGTCTTCGTCCTGGGTTTGCCTTCTGCTTTCTTCTCCGTGCGTGTCTGTCCAAAGGCCCCTTGCACGGCACCAGTCAGGCTGGGTTGGGGCCACCAAGGCCTCCCGAAACCCTCACCGCCTCTGCAGGGGCCTGCTCCCCGGTGTGGTCTATGCCCAGAAGTGGGGGGCAGCTGGGGGTTGGGACTCCGGCCCTGAGCGCTGTCTGGGAGCTCAGGGTCACGACCCGGCCACAGTGGGGCCTGCTCGCCTTTGGGTTTCTTCTGGGGCTGGGCAGGGTTGGTCTGACAGGACACAAGGTTGGTCTGACATTCCAGTCGGCCAACTCTTTTTATTTTTTTAAAGATTTATTTATGCATCGACAGGAGGGTCTGCTGTGCCCTGCGGTCTCTCCCTGGCGGGGGTCACACGCAGGCCCAGTGGCTGCGGACAGCTTGACAGCACTTAGGCTGACCCCCGCTCCAGGAGCTCCCGCGTCCACTCAGGTTTGGCGTGTCCAATGCAACACGCAAACGCAAAACAAGTGGGCCGGTGACCACGGGCCGGTGACCACGTCTGATAATCGGCTGCGTTTCGCTGAGATCTCTGCTAGAACTCCGAAAGGTGTGTTACCTCGGTGAAGATGGGCAGCTTCTCTGAAGCATCGGCCCGGAGCTTCCGAAGGGCGGACGGCCGAGCGTGCGGCGCGGGGTGTCCCAGGGCCCTAGGCAGGAGGACGCCGTGTTAGTCTGGCGGATCAGGAAGCTGCATCGCTTTGCCGCCACCCAGCCACCCGCTCGGGTCTGAAGCCCTCGGCGGGCCCGCACCTGCTGGCCTGCGCCGGCCCCCACCCCCACTGGAGTCCATGGCTGTCCGGTTCATCAGACCGAAGGCCCCGCCCAGCGTGGTTTCTGCCCCCAGACAAGGCGCCGCCCTGGGCCTCTCGCTCACACGCCCTGAGTTTAAGGCTGGAGGCACCAGCCGCGTGGAGAAGGCTGCCGACCCCAGCCCCTGCCAGCCTCCGCACGCCATTGCCCGGGCCGGCGCGGCCATTCCCCAAGACGCGCCTCCGCCCAGAGGGGCTTTAGCTCTGGATGTGAGGGCCAAGGGGGACCCGGGAGAGGAGTGAGGCTAACCGGGGCCAAGAGACGGCCCCACAGGGAGGCCGGGGCCGCCATCAGGCCCCAGGGCACACAGAGGCCCCAGGGCAGCCCGGTTCCAGGCCTGGCGCCGCCAGCCCAGGTTGAAAGAAGCACATGTCCCGGGTCACCCTGGAGGGACGTCCCCGCTCGCCAAGCCACCCACTCCTCACCCAGCCCTGGGCGGAGAAGGCTCACGCCTGGCCCCCGGCTCGAGGCACGAGGACGCTGCCTGGGCCCGAGGAGCTCGACTAGCCTCAGGCTTCATGGGGGGCCAGTGCCAAGGAGCCTCAACCCCACCCACTCTGCAGGGGTGAGGGTCAAACTCAGCCGGGGGCAGAGGCGCCATTTGGGGTCAGGGAGTTTTCAAATGGCTAAAAGGCTGCCCCAGCTGCTGGAGGCTGGCCCTGGGTCACCAAGCAGTGGGTTTTTTTTTTAAGATACTGGGGTACAGGCCAGAGGTGTGGGGGGGAGGGTAAGAGGATTCCCCAGAGACAGAGCGGGGAGCAGAACAGGCAGAGGGACGAAGTCCACTGCTGAGGGGAGCAGCGGGCGGTCAGGAGAGGTCTGCCGCGCCCTGGGTGGGGTCAGCTCCGGGGCGGGGGTCGAGGGTGTTTTTAAAAATTTAAACTCAAGGGGGCTCTCCCTGGTGATGCAACAAGTTCGATCCCCCACCAGGGAGTGACCACAGGGCGCGGCAGACCTCTCCTGCCCCGCCCGCTGCTCCCTCAGCAGTGGACTTCAGTTGGCCTGTCCTGCTCCCCGCTCTGTCTCTGGCGAAGCCTCTCACCGCCCCTGCACCTCTGGTCTGTACCCCAGTTCTGTGAGCACGAATAAATACATCTTTAAAAAAATTTAATTCAGTAGTGAAGAAGGCGGCTCCCTAACGGCCCCCTGCTCAGCGCACCGGGAGGGCTGCTTTTCTTTGGCTTCTACATAATGTCACACTTTCTATGGAAACCATGGGGTTTCCAGCCCTCTGGGCCTGCAGGCGGGTCACGGAGGAGCCTCCGAGCCCGCCCCTCTCGTCTCACCCCGAGGGACGCCGGCGCCCCTCAGCTCGGCCCAGCTGGCCATCGCTGCTGGCTCCTGGCCGCAGGGCCGTCCCGGAGGTGAGGGCCCGACGCCGCTCCGTGGCGCGAGACCGGGAGAGCGGGCTTGTGGGGCGGGTCCTGGGGCGGCAGTGGCCGACAGAGGCCGTGGCCCCGGGCGCTCCAGAGGGGCTGGCGCGACCGTGGTCACCTGCAGCGTGAGGTGCTCAGCTGCGTGGAGCTGCCTCGCCCATAAACTGCTGCCTGGGCCCCCGCCCGGCGCCCTTGGGGGGGACCCAGGTGTGCCGGTGGGCAGCCCCCCAGCTTCCGTGCTGTCCCCACTGCCCCGCCCCCTCCCTCTCCCCACCCCTTCCCCTCCCGCCAAGTTCATTATCTTGGTGCTCGATGACCATCTCCTGTTGTCAAGACACAGGTCGAGGCACCCCACCACCCCTCCTCTGCCCTCACCTCCCGGGTCCAGCTGAAAGCCACGGCCAGTCTTGTCTAGCAGAAAGGCTGCGTCCTGTCCAGTCTCCACTGCAGCGCCTGTCCCCAAGCAGGGTCACAATCAAGCTGGCGACCCCCGGCTTGTCTCCGGCCAGGTCCCCCAAGCCTCTTGGTCTCCAGTCTGTGCCCCTGCGGAATCACACGCTCCTCTGAAAACTCTAAGGAAAGAGAGACCCCCCACTCGGTGCAGGATCTGGGGCTTCTGAGCACACGCCTAGATCCCGGGGCACAGGGACACCCCTGGAGCTCAGGGACACCCCTAGGGCTCAGAGGCACCTTGACCACAGCAGCTCCCAGCCCAGCGCTGTGTTGGCCACCTGGATGCCACCACCCGCGTGGCCCCTGGGCTAACCCCGTCCCGCCAACCCCCAGACCCCCTCCAGCTCAACGCCCCCAGGACTGCCCTACTCAGGAAGCTCTCCGGCCTGTACCCCACCCCCTCTCTGGGGCCAGGCGGCCACTGGCACAAAGCCGGCTCACAGCCCTGCAGCCAGACCCCTAACCGGGGCGTGGGCCTGCTCTCCTCCCTCGCCTCGACCTTGCTTCTGGAGGCTGCGGCGTGTCTGAGCGATGGCTATGGATGGCTATGGGGACCCCCCAGCCTCCGACCTGGGCCCTCATCTCCATGTGGCGACTGCCCCGCTCGCCACGTCTCCAGGCCTCTCTCTGTGAGGCTCACTGGGTTTCAGGCCTCATCTTGACCGCATCTGCCCCTGTCCCAGGGGTGGGGTTAGGACCTGGGCAAGTCTCTGGGGAGCACCATTCAATCCTCCGCGGCGCCCCTCCCGGCTGTCCGGACCCCACACCCTCGCTGATAGCACAGCCTCGCTCGTCGCTCTGCCGTGGGCCGCGTGGGGTCTGCCTCCCTGACGCGGGCCTCGGGCTGGCTCCTCCCCAGCGCCTCGCACAGGCCCGGCCACGCAGGCGCACGGGGTGAGCAGGCCGTCTCTTCACCTGGCAGCCACCTCCGTGGGAGACCATCAGGGGGTGCCTCGCTCAGCCCGCGGGGTCACGCTCCACGGACCTTCCAGAGACCTTTCCTCCATGCCAGAGGCTACTGATGGCGAGACGCGCCTGGCCCGCACACCTCGGTGAGCGCCTTCGGGAGGGGTCAGGTTCCGTCCGTCCTGGCAGCAGAGCTGAGGGTTCCACCGGGATGACGTCATCAGAGAGGTGTCCGGGCAACCGGGCAGGGGCAGGAGGATGTCTGCACCCCGTTCAGCTTTCTGTGAGCCCCATGAGACATGGGGGGGGGCACTACCACAGGCCGCTGCACGTATCTCCTCTCACGGATCTCAGCCGGGTCTCCCGCCCGGTTTGGAGGACGCTGCTCACCCCGTGGCCAAGCAGCATTTTCAGCAGCTGCCCGAGTACCGGATTATACGCAGGAACCACCACGGGCTTAACTGGCTGACGCCCCTCGTCACACATAATGGCTACCCGATTTCTTCGAGCCGGGCTGGCTAGAGCACGGCCAGCTGCTGGGCCAGGCGCGTCTCACGGGGACCCCGGCCGGACCTCACAGTTTAATAAAACACTTTTGACATGAAATGACACTGAACAAAGTTGCATAATTTATACCCAACTGAATGGGAGTACAAATTAGCTCTACAACATCCACGCAGCTTTAAGGAGCGGAGCGACTGTCATGAAAAAGCCAGCCGGGGCCTGGAGCCTGGAGAAATCATCGAGCCAAAGCCCGGGTTAGAGGCGGCGCGGCACAGGCCGCCTCACGTGGGCCGGGGCGGGGCCAAGGCCCAGGTCAGGCTTCCGAAGAGACTGGCTTCCCCCGGGGTGGGCGCTGGGGTGCTGGGGTCACACGGGCCACTTCACGGCTTGCTGTGACTTGCACTGGGTGACCCAGGGGCTCTGAGCGTGGTCTGTGACTCTACTGGCTGCACAGTGGGAGACAAGTGTCCTCTCCTCTCCAAGAGGTCTCGCAGGCGGCCTCCACGCTGCGCCCACTGACAGGTGAGGGAGCCCGGCCACACCGGGCTGAGCCCGGAAGTGATGACCATGGCCAGAGTCAGGAGCGGGCAGGCCGGGGGCTCCGACAGCGCCTCAAGTTTGGGAAGCGGACGGGGCAGCCGGGGCAGCTGGGTGGCGCCTGCACATGCCGCTGGCCCCCCGCGACCCCAAGGCCGGAGCGGTGAAGCGGGCGTGGGTATTTCATGGGCGCCCCACAGTGCCTGGCACACGAGGTCACGGCGGAGAAATGTGTCCTCTGGCCAGGGTGAGCATTCCTGAAACAGGGCTGGCGCGTGTGCAGCCGGGTGGGGCTCCTGGGGCTGCGTGGCACGTGGCTGGGGTCTGCCCCGTGCAGGGACGGAGGCTCTGACTCACCGCCCGTGTGCGGGGGCAGCAGGGTGGGCCCCGGCTCTTAGTGCAGGGCTGGAGAGCAACAGCCACCAGGGAGGAGACCGGGCCTCGGACAGCGCCTGCGGGAGCCGGGCCGGGGCCTCCGCGGGGCCAGTGGGCCTGTCCGCTCCGCGTCCACGGGGCCAACCAGCTGCAGACGGACGGTTGCCGAGGCGCCAGCGGGTTCGTCCCCTGGGGGCGGCGTCGCGCGGGCTGGGGGGGCGTGAGCGAGTCTGCGCAGCCGCTGCCTCCTCGTCCAATCGCTGCAAGTGGCCAGGGCCCGGCCGGAGCCCAGAGCAGGAGCTCACGGAGAAGCCGGCGGTCGCCGTGGCCGGTCGCCGCGGCCCAACAGCCAAGCCCCACCCGGCAGCTGGCACCGTCAGAGCGGGCTCTGCCCACAGCCCAGCACATCGTCGGGGTCCAGGCGGTGGGCCTGTGCCCCCTGCAGGCCGCAGGACTCTCCCTGAGGCACATGGCCCTTCCCGAGCCCGGCAGCCGTGGGCCGGCCGGCCAGACCGACCGCGAGGCTGCTGTTGGCCGCCTGGGAGCTTCAGTTTCCAGTTGTTTTCTCTCTGGAGCAGCTCTTGTTTCATGCGTCCAGGGCCCAGCCACCTGTGCCCCCCAGAGCGTCCCCGCCCCTTCCACGTGCAGTCCCCGGAGAGGCGAGGTGGCCTGGCCCTCTGCCCGTCACACAGCCCCTTTCCACAGAAGGAAACCAGCTCGGGAGGGCAGCGCTGGCCGGCTCGCTCCAGCCAGGAAGAGGCAGGCCGGGCGAGCTCGGCCAGTTCCCGCCAACCACACCCGGCCGCGGGGCCAACTGCTCTCTGCAGCGTCCCGAGACGTACGTGGCGTACCACGGGGCTCGCTGGGAAGTGCGCCGTCCGAGACTATGGCACAGCCGTCGCCACTAATCCAGACAATCGTCTTCCTTCCCCAAAGAAGCCCAGGCCCACTGCTCGCCATCTCCGCCTTGTCCAGCCCGCGGACACCACAAACACACTTTCCCTGGAAATGCCTGTTCTGGAGAGTTCACGTGCACGGAAGCAGGGACTCTGGCTTCTGCTCTGGCCGCTTCTGCAGAGCATCCTGCTTTCAGGCACATTCACGGGGTCAAGGTATCACGCTGTCATCTCTCCAAAGGCCAGGGACAGCCGACTCCGTCTGCACGCGCTGACGGCCATCTGGGCTGCTTCCACGCTTTGCCTGTCAGAAACGCTGCCTGAACGTTGTGGACAGGTTTCGTCGTGGCTCTGCCTTCTCCTGGGTCCGACTTAGGAGTGGAGCTGCTGGCTCGCACCAAATTCCGTGCCTGACTCTTTGAGACCACACCCCACCGTTTGCCATGGCGCCCACCCATTCTGCACCCCACTGGCCATGTCTGCATGTGCCTTCCTGCCCGCTGCCCCGCCAGCCTCGTGGGTCTGGAGAGGCGGCTCACGGGTTTGATTTGCCTTCTGTGACTGAAATGTCTTCCTTTTTTTCAGATGTTTACTGGCTACTTGAATAGCTTCTTGGAAAAATATCTCCAGCAAAATATGTCTTCAGCAAACATATCTGTGCTTGTGTTTGAGCGGTTACTTGTCTCTGCATAGCAGGCCTAGGAAAAGACACTTCACGGCGCCACCTGCACGCTCCCCTAGGTGAAAGGAGCAGCGTGATGCCCAGACTCCCCTGCGGCGGTGTCTCCCTCCCAGGGACCCTCGACAAGAGCAGCGCGTCTGCACAGAGACTAAGAGAACCTTCTTTGGCATCCCCAGACACGGCTCCAATCTTGGCCCCCTGCAAAGTTTGGAGCGCAGACAACTCACTCGCTTCTCTGTGCTTCCATCTCCCAGCTGCACAACAGGGGCCACAATGCCTATCTCACGGATTGCTGTGAGCAAAGACACTGGGAAAGGCCCGGGGTGGGGGGTGGTCCTGCATACAGGGACAGCCTTACAGAGCAGCAGTGACGAGGCCGGGGCCGCGCGAGACTGGACGTGACAGCAGCGAACAAGAGACAAAGTCGCTGCCTTCCTGGAGCGTCCCGACAGCCGGGCATTCTAGCTCGTTAATGGCGCTGCTATTGTCACGACTCCAGATTCTCACTCTCGATTGCCAAGCAAGTACCATCTCATCAGAACTAGAATGACACCATAAGACATTTCACTAATGAGCTTGAACTTTAGGGAGACAAAGCGTTTGCTGGGGTAATTGCCGCTTTCCCGCGAGCTCCCTGCTAGGCCTTTCCTGTCTTTGCGAGGGACACCCGAGACGCCGGGCGGGGCGGCCACCCTCGAGTGTGCAGGTGGAGAGAGGCTCGTCTGGACAGTATTGGGTGGAGAGAGGAGCCGAAGGACACAGATTGTCACCAACAGGGCAAGGAGCAAGTGAACATAGGAAGACGGGCCAGAGGAGCCCCCTGGGCTGTTGGGCTGAGGGTCCAGCGGCTGGACGTGACGTTGAGTGGACAGAGGAAAGCTGCTGGTTTCCAGAGCTTTTCTGGGACAAGGAGCAAAACCCACTGGAGCAAATGAGGTCTCAGCATCATGGAAACGCTGCCACGTGGTCAGCCATCCTGTGTCAGCCCCAGGGGTCAGCCCAGCACGGCCGCCCCGCGGACAGTCACCCGACTTCTACCAGCAGGCAGGCCCCCAAGGTTTCTGAAAGGACCCCCGTGCCTTGATGCCGGGGTTCAGCATAACCTGGGCATTAATTCCCTGCCCTGTGGGCAGGAGGCAGCCCCTCTCGGGCACACTAAACAGTGCGGCAGCGTGGAGTCACGCAGACCC